TCAGTTCGCTTGGCCCTTCTACCAACCTGTCGACGCCATCAAGCTCTGCCTGGCGGTGAGTCCCCGTCTTAAAAGAGACGTATTCTGTTCATCTTCACACTGAACCTGCAACACAACAAGACACAACACAACAAGACACAACACAACAAGACACAACACAACAAGACACAACACAGTGAAACAAATAAACCGACTCAATGTCAAATTCATGCATCAAAATTCTATAGTGTTAAGTATCGATAAGCTGTATAGATTAAATCCAACAATACAAATCCCAGTCCTGTCTGCATCTGGCGTTTTTAGCCTACATCCATGCGACTGCGTTTTAGTTTGAAACTGCAAATTCATCTTGGACACCTAGTGGTCAGACGACACAACTGTTTGATGTCACGATGATGTGCAAGTATGAGCTGGTCTGACGCGGTGGCATTTAACAACAACAGTTATCACTAATTAGTAAGCTAGGCTAGCTGTTTAGCCATTTTGCTTCAATGCTAATAACGTCCATGTTTCCAGGACTACCACAAGGTGATCAAGAACCCAATGGACATGGGAACCATCAAGAAACGTCTGGAGAACAATTACTACTGGAGCGCCAGTGAGGCCATGCAGGACTTCAACACCATGTTCACCAACTGTTACATCTACAACAAGGTACGTCACACAGCGACTTTCACACCTGTTCACATCCACTGACTCTGAGAACTTAACAGCTCCGCGTCTCTTTCCTGTTTTTCAGCCAACAGACGACATCGTGCTCATGGCTCAGGCCCTCGAGAAAATCTTCCTGCAGAAAGTCGCTCAGATGCCTCAGGAGGAAGTCGCTCTGCTGCCACCGGCTCCCAAAGGAAAGAACAAGAGCAAGCAGCCCGCCACCGCCACCACAGGTAATACTACAGTACTATACAGTTGTACTCTATCACCACAGTACTACAGCTGCACTCCTATCACAGTAAATGCAGTATTTTATTCACTTAATACTAAGTTAAATATTATCCTAGTATTAAGTGATATTGTTGATGTACATTGATATTACTGTGTAGTAGTACTGTATCAGCTGTACTAACAGTACTCTTGCTCTCTGTTTCTGTCTTTCAGTGAGTCAGCAGGCGGAGTCTTCAGCCTCCCCTCCCCCCTCCTACCCCTCCCCCTCCCCTTCTCAGACACCTGTCATATCCACCATGCCAATACCTGTCCAAGCCACGCCCCCTGTCTCTGCACCGCAGCCCCCAGCAACCATGATGCCGTCTGCACAGCCTGTTGTCAAGGTAACATTCGTCACACGATCTAAAATACCAATGGCAGAGACTCTGTCCCTGTCTGTGTCTCACACCTGTCTCTTTCCACCTGTCTGTCTCTAACAGAAGAAAGGTGTGAAGAGGAAAGCCGACACCACCACTCCCACCACGTCGGCCATCTCTGCTGGTCGTGCTGACTCTCCATCTGCTCAGGACAACAAACCGGCAAAGCTGGGTTCGTCCCGCCGTGAGGCTGCCGCACGCCCCGCTAAGACCCGCCGAGAGACGGGTGAGGAGGTGCCAGGGGGTGAGATGGGAGGTGGCGGAGGAGGAGTTGGAGGGAAGAAGGTCGGTAAGCTGGGCGAGCAAATGAAACACTGCGACGCCATCCTGAAGGAGATGCTCTCAAAGAAACATGCCGCCTACGCCTGGCCCTTCTATAAGCCGGTGGACGCAGAGGCACTGGAGCTGCACGATTACCATGACATCATCAAACACCCCATGGACCTCAGCACTGTCCGGGTAACACACATGACATCGTCACACATGACTGGTCACATGTCATCACACAATGAGCTGCCTTCGGTAAAAAGTTATTTAAAGATGCGATAAACTATGTTGTTACACAAATGACCACAGCAGCTGAGAGGGTCGTTATAGAAACCTCGGGAGATGACGTGAGTTTAGATAAGCTTGAAAAAAAATGCAGTTAATGTTCAGTCTCTGTCCATTAAATAAATATGATCTTATAAAATCAATTCTTGAGACAAAACGAGGAAATGTAACATCTTCAGTTGATACGCAGCTGCTGATTGGTCAACACCTCAGACACACCCAACAAACCTTAGGAAACAAACCTCGAAGCTCGTTGACATGTTTCGAAGAAAAATGTTGTTCAACTAGAAACTGTCAAACTGCAGAACGTTTGAGACTGAACATCGGATCTCAGAGTCACACACGTCACCAGGTTCAGTCTGGTTGTTGACGACAGTTTATTTCATGTGTCAACAGAAAAAGATGGATAAAGGCGAGTACAGTGACCCTCAGAGCTTCGCCACTGACGTCAGGTTAATGTTCTCCAACTGTTACAAGTACAACCCTCCAGACCACGAGGTCGTGGCCATGGCCCGAAAACTGCAGGTACGTCAACCCTCAGATTCCAGAACGAGCTCTGCCTGTGTCTTGGTCATTAATGTGACTGTGTCCGTCCTCAGGATGTGTTTGAGATGCGTTTTGCTAAGATCCCAGACGAGGGCCTGGAGGTGTCTGTCCCGTCTACAACACCACTGGTCAGTAAAAGCACAGCTTCCTCTGACAGCAGCAACAACTCCTCCTCAGACGAATCTTCCGACTCCGAGGAGGAGCGAGCCACGCGATTGGCTGAGCTACAGGAGCAGGTTGGTGCTGCTGAGCAATCACAGGTCAAGAACATCCTGGTTTCCTTCTTTAATACTGAACATTGCTATTGATTTAAAGAGTAAATGAAATGTCAAATATTCATAGTAATCATTTATTGAACTGAATGATCAGTGGAAGGCGTTCCTGATTATTGATCGGAGATTATAGATATTGATAATTAGTCTATTCCACCAGTTGAAGGCGGTGCACGAGCAGCTGGCCGTCTTGTCCCAGGCTCCGGTCAGCAAGCCAAAGAAGAAGAAAGAGAAGAAAGACAAGGAGAAGAAGAAAGACAAAGGGAACAAGGGGAAGATGGAGGAAGAGAAGAAGCCAAAGGCTGCCGCTCAACAGCCCAAACCAGCCAATCAGAAGAAGGCACCGGCCAGGAAAGCCAACAGCACTGTGACCGCAACCAGGTATGACTCAGTTCATCAGTGAATCCTAGTGTTCCTGTGTGAAATGCGCCTGACAAACCACTTCCTGTGCATTTCCAGGCCACTTAAGAAAGGCAGCAAGACGTCAGGTGGCGGCTCGGCCAATGGAGAAGATGGAGAGGAGTCGTCTTTACCGATGTCGTATGACGAGAAGCGCCAGCTGAGTCTGGACATAAACCGCCTGCCGGGTGAGAAGCTGGGTCGCGTCGTCCACATCATCCAGTCCAGAGAGCCGTCGCTGCGAGACTCTAACCCCGACGAAATCGAGATCGACTTCGAAACGCTCAAACCCTCCACGCTCCGAGAGCTGGAGCGCTACGTCAAATCCTGTCTGCAGAAGAAGCAGAGGAAGCTGCTGCGTAAGAACGACAACGACACAAACATTACACTCACCTCAGATCTAACCTGTGAGTTAACCCCCCCTCCCTCTCTCTCCCTCTCTCTCCCTCTCTTGAACCCCCCCCCCCTTTAGAGAAGGCAGCAGGTGGCGGGGCCTCAGGAGGCGGGGCTAGTCGTTTGAGTGGCAGCTCTTCTTCCTCCTCTGATGACAGCTCCTCAACGGGAACCTCCTCTTCCTCCGACACAGACTGAACACACACACACACACACAACACACACACACACACGTTACTGAACACAGAGTTTATACACACACACTCGATCACAGGAACGACAGTTAACACATGAACACACATCCATGTAAACTTCCACCATGAACACACACAAGACAGAGATCCACACTCTGAACTTCTTACAACACACACGCCCAGACTTGGAGACTGTATGTAAATAGGCAAACCTGTTTTTTAGCTCCTAGTGTCGTTTTTTTTTTCTTTTCTTCCTGGAGTAATGCAGAGACAGAAGAGAAGAAGAAGAAAGAACTTGTCAGAGAGAGGAGGAGGAGGAGGAGGTCTGTCTGTTCACCAGTTGTACTGATCTTCTCTTAACTGTCGTCTCGCTGCTGTGGAGAGAAATAAAAACATCCACGTTTCTTCTTGGGTTTGGACGCCGGCTATGACCCCTGACCTCTGAACACATTCCGGAAGCGTCTGCTATCATCAGGACGAGGAGGTCTCAGTGGGTTTCACGTCGTTGGAAGTGAAGCTGTTGAGCAATAACTGAAAAGGATTTCAGAGGAAACATGTCTGAGATGAAGCTCAGACCATCATGGGAGATTTAACCAAAACCTGGAGAAGAACAAGCGTCTCAGGGCCGAGTGGCGTCTTGTCTTCTGCTGCGTTCACACCGAATGCGACGCAAAGTGTTGAGATTACATACAAAGTCAATGCACAGACATTTATTTAGTTATTTCAGTCTTTACTTCCCCCGGAGTTTCCACTTGTACGACGCAGTAACTTGATCCCTTCGACCAGTCGTCCTCTTCCGGAGGAGAACAGGCGAATATTCCTCGTTTGTGTTTATTCACGTGATTCACCTGAATAAACTCAAATGATCTCACGGCATGTTCGGTGTGAACGCACCTGTAGACCTAAGTTCTGAACGATTGGCTGTTATAAAAAAATAAACCAAAAAAACGTCCACGTCAGCTGATTGTGTGGAGATTTGAAAATTGCTGATAAGAAACTTTACTTGAACATCTCCTGTTAACAGATGTATGACACGTCCGCTTGTAAAATGATGTCACACTTATTGGATCAGCTGTTGGCGATGGCAGAGTTCAGGAGCTGCAGTTATAGGCGATGAAGTGTGTGTGTGTGTTGATCTTCATCACAGATGGGGAGGTCAGAGGTCAACCTGTTTTTAAAGTGACATCAGTAGTTTAAACTGGTTCCTTGGTGAATGACGGATGATTATTGATAAGTGGTGAAGTTCATCTGTGACTGACATCTCTGCAACAAGGTTCATGTGTTTTATTCATTTCTAATGTTCGACAGTCGCTCAGCTGATCAATCACATCCACTTCCTTTATGACTGGAAATCAAACAGCTGATGATCAGATGTTGATCAGATGTTGATCAGATGTTGATCAGATGTTGATCAGATACTGATCAGCTGAGCTCATCCAGGTTTTGTACTGTTGTTCAATTAAAACCCTCTGAGGCTGACGCTGCCCTCTGCTGGTCCTGAAACCAACACAACTCATCGTCTGACTGGGGTCAATGCTGGGGGTGTGGTCAACCCTGGGGGCGTGGTGGCTGGACCCAGGGAGCGAGACGGACATGTTTCTTTTTAACACTACATCTTCTTTATTTCCTGTCATTTGTTTTTGATTTTTCAGGTTGTGCTGAACCCGTTTATGTCTTTATAAGATTTGTGATATAAAATGTCTTTGTACGACGTTCTTCTGCCCCCCCCCCCCCCAGGTTAAAAGTCAGAGCTCAAACTGAAGCTTCAACACCACGTTCAGATCACCCTCAGTAAAATACTCATATTTCCAAATTTTAATAATTTTAACTCTAAAATGTCCAAAATAAAGTCGTCAGGATGAAGAAAAGGTTCAGTGGATATTTGAGATGTTTCAGTGACGTCACGTCTGATTGGCTCCAGTGTTTTTTTTTTTTTAACTCATTTATATCTGGGTGCAATGTGCCACTGAAGCTAAACATTTAAAAGGAATTTAATTTATCCATTTTAAAGACTTTAATTTCATGTGTTGTCATGACATCACAGTTCTGCCCTCCCCTGATTGGTTAGGCAGAGTGGAGCAGTCAGCTGATTGCTTCTGAAGAAGCTTTACGTTGCGTGATGTTAGAATTTTCTGCGTGACCTTTAGCACGATGTTAACCTGTTTCTGTTTTGATCTGAGTTTCTGATTAAATCACGTGACCTCACCGCTCACCTGTCCTAACTCCACGTCGTTGGTTTCACCTCTGACTTCGCCTGTCGGGGGACAAAAAGTAGCCAATCAGAGTGGGGGACAGTTTTAATCCTCATCAACCAGAAAACACGTTTTTCATCCTTTGTCATGTGATGTTAACATCCAACACTGTTTCCATTGGCTCCCACCTGACAGGGAGGGTCATGTGACCTTCAGAAACCTAATGCTGAGTTTTAACCAGAGACTGAGTGACACATCTGTTACGAACGCTGCCATCTTGTGGTGATGACATAATTTGCAGTCAGAGTCTGTGCAGTAGTTCATTGTGGAGTTGTGGTGTCGAAGTCCCACCCACACACGCACTTGACCAATCCTGAGTCAGTCTCAGCTGTCAATCATGACGTCTCCGCCTGTTTTTATATCAACAAATAACTGATTCAAACCAAACTGATGAGAAACACTTGAACACATTTTTTAACGTCTACTTTGATAATTTTAGTTTGGTCCATGTCCCATCTGCCTACATGGAGGAGGTTTTTGACCTATACTGCAGCCAGGGGGGGGGGGTGATCCCTCTGCGTATGGAGCTGCTCTGTTGTCATGACGATAGTTTGTTATGTGAATTAATTACTTAGTTTCAGACGAGTCAAAACTAAACGTAAACTAAACTAATCGTTAGTTTTTTTCCATCGTTTCATTTGAAGAAACAAAGTTTTATTTTGGACATTTTACAGACAACAACCTAAAACAACCTACAACAACCGAGACACAGTGACAGACAGACGGCTCGTTGCCGCAGTAACCTCCTCTGTTTTATTTAGTTGATGGTCGAGCTTCGATGGTTATAGTTAATTTTTGTATTTTAATAAGAAAAAGGAAAAAAGTGATTTTATGTATTTGCATGCACTCCGGCCGTACGTTCCTTCTTCCGTATGTTTGAGCACTGTATAGTAGCTGTATAGTTCCTGTCCGACGTTTAGATCGCCCAGAGAGAGAGAGAGGATGAAAAACAACACGTGAATAATTTGATGTAATTACTGATATGATCCTTATTTTCTGAGTTCATTTGTTTTCATAAATAAACGTATAAACTGACCCAGTCCATTCTCTTTCATACACACACACACACACTACATGTACATAAATATATATATACATACAATGAAATATGTCTTTTACTGAACAGGTCAGAGTTAAAACATCACATATATGTACAAAATTCTTGTACACTGAGCACATGCGTGTTCACGTGTACAAGAACTGTCATGTGATGTGTTGGTGTGGGCGGAGCCTGTGTCAGCTGACTGATGGTCAAACTATTAATCTGGATCATTTAAAATATCACGAGTGTAAACAAACTTATCTTTGTTCAACTTTAAGTTAAAACATGTTCCAGGAGAAAAAGTTACTGAACAAAGAGTGTAAATTAAACGTGATGACTTGAGTCAGTGTTCTGTCTACATGATGCTGCAGATCCTGGACCGTCCCTCGCCGTCCTCCAGGACCCTCTTGTCCCGGACCAGCACGGCCTGGTTCCCGTAGCTGCTGTACCAGGTGGACTGGCTGCGGCTCAGGTAGGTGGAGGGAGGCGCCATCTCCAACTGCTGCTGCTGCCAGATCATCAGGGACGTGTCCCGGTACCGCAGCCGAGAGAACGACTCCGACAGGGCCTTCTCTGCCAGGAGGGGCCGTCCAGGAGACCCAAGAGACCCAGGACCATGAGGAACGGAGGAGTCGGTACCAGGTTCTTCTACAGCCAGAAGATCAGAAGCCGACATGATGGCATCCGCTGTTTCCAGTTCAGATCAAGATCTACCTGAGTCATGATCCAGCACCTGCGGACGGCAGCAGGTCAGAGGTCAAACTGGATCTAAACAGCTGCGAGTTCATCAGGTGAGTGACCTTTGACCTTGAAATGTGAAACCGT